AAATGTTAGCAAACTGGGTCTAACGTTAACAAACCACACAAGTGATTGATAGGGTTTTCTTTCACACTTTTCATTTACATACACTGAGACAAAAGCCAACTCTGGAGGCTCATAAGAGATTGTAAACACGTGACAAAAAGTCAACAACTAATAAAGCTGTGTATCTGAAAAACATGACTTTTATCCCTAGTCATAGATACCTTAAAACGAACTGAGCATCATTTTTTTAATTATTAGACAATCTCATATCGTATATTAAAGTTTTTATTCCTTAGTAAGAACTTTTAAATCACAAAATAGTGTGGAAATATTTAGGTAATAGAATTTATGGAGTGCTCAAAATACTAGAATATAAAGATAATCTCTAGTTTATCATCACATACTAAACTTTTCTAAACCAGCTGGTTTCTTGCAGACAATATTTATTTTCTTTTAATAATTTAAGACAGCATAAGCTTGTACCAAGCATAAGCATTGTAACAAAAGTGCAACTTTTCAGCAAATCTTCCCCCAAAGATATTTTAACTCAAAATATCATTAGCACATATTTTCTCCCTACAAAAATAGCATGTCAGACATCATTAATTAGATGTATTAACAACTATGTACATAAAGCCACCTTGTAGGCTAAGAGTTTAACGTTGTTTAAACACAGCGTTTGAGGCAACAGTAGCAACAGCAGCAGCAATGCACCAAACTGACTAAAAGACCCAGATATTTTCTTCACTCAGTCAGACTGTTGTGTCTCAACCCTTACATAACATTCAAGTGAGATTTCTCACAGTGCTACCTTGGCAACAAACTAAAAATATCTAGACAAGGTCTTGGTTTTAAGCCTGATTTTTAAAAAAATCTGTCTTTGTGATTATCTGTTATCTGGTTTGGTCTCCAGAAAATACATAGACTGAGAGATAGGAAGGCCTTAGAGGGCTTTATCCCGTATCTTTACAAAATTTCCATTCAAAACTGACCAGTTCACCTCTTTCCTCCATTCTGTGACAGAAGAACATAGGATAAATCCATTGGACTTCATCTTTTTTTTTTTAAGGTTCAGTGCACATTCTTTTTTTCCCCCTCTCTTTTTTTACAGCAATATTACAAAAAACTCAGGAGCATAATGAATGAAATAACGACCCGGTGGGAATAGATGTACTTGATATATATGTATATACACATATATGTCTATATGCATACACATACACATATTGTACACATGGCTAATAGTAAGGGAAAATTTCTCAGCAAAATCCTAGCAAATGTGCTAAGAAAGTCTCTGGCCTTCTTTCTTCATCTCCTTCCCTGACTTAGTTTTGACAATGACCCACCTCATCGTGCCTTTTTACAAGTGCAAGTGAGGAAAAGGGAAAAGGGACCTTTTAAAACATTTCCGAATGGGCTGCCATCTACGCCACTGCAGGCACCCTCCCTTTCCTCTTCGAAAAACAGATGCCTTTGAAAAAAAGCAGATGATAAAATCCTGAAGAGTACATTTAATTCTCCAAGATCCTCATTCTGTTTGTGGAAACGTCTTAAAATAGCTGGGTAGCTCTGAGAGATAGGCAGACAGTAACTCCCCTTCTCCTTCCCTGGTTCAAGGCTAGCTCACCCACCAAAGAGACCCTGCTGTGACTTCCTCTAGAATTAGGGTCTATATTTTTAAAGATAGGGAACATGGCCCAGAGGAGGCAAGACTCATTTGGGGGAGTTCTTTAAAGAGAAGAGAAAGAGGGGGGAGGAGGGAAGAGTATGTATTGCAGGTCTTTTACTGCTGGTGGGGGTAATAAAGGGATTTTCGCGTGGAGGGAGGGGTGGT